TAAAGAAGAAACTTAGTTCGTTAGGTTTTTGTGTTATTTCCTTTCTTCTTTTCTTTTTCTTTTTCTTTTTTTTTTTTGTATTTAGGACAGTGTATACAGGGTATACGTGGTCTCACTGCATAAATCAGACTGTAGTGATCCTCCTGTTTACAGCCTTCCAAGAGCTGGGATTACAGGCTGGCACCACCATGCCCAGTCTCAATTGCCATTTCAGTGTGCTCTGGGGGCGAGGCGGGCACGGTAGGCCAGTGGATTGAACTCCTGGCCCCTGCATCTGCCTAAGCAGACGCTTTAATCTGCTGAGCTATTTGGCTGGCCCTTGTTATTTCTTTTCTTTTCTTTTTTTTTTTCCCTCATTATTTCTTTAAGTTAAAAATTGATTCTTCTTCTTCTTTTTTTTTTTTTTTTTTTTTGCAGGACCAGGGATTGAACTCAGGACCCTGCGCTTGCCAGGGAAGCGCTTATTCCACTGAGCCACCTCCCCGGCCCCTTAAAAATTTATTCTTGATATATAAACTTTAGCTCTTGGGGCCAGGGAGATAGCTCAGTGGTCTGAATCGCCTGCTTAGGCAAGTTTAGGCAAGCCCACAGGGATTTGTGTTTAATGACCCACACCACATGCCACTCCAGCCCTGCCCCTACGGTGGGCTGAGACGGCCACACACACACACACACACACACAACAGAACAAAACTTTAGCTCTGTTTTTAAGGTTGTTTTTTTAGATACAATTGCCAAAAATTAGACAACATATATTTTAGAATGATACCAGCAGCAATATGTAAGCTACAAGGATTGAATGTTTTTTAAACTGGCTTCAATATTTTTTTTTAATGAGGGACAACCTAATTTATAAAGGTATTATGTGTGATATTTATTAATAAGAAAATAAAGTACTTAGAGTACTTTCTTGTTTCACAGGATCTAGATGCAATATTTAACTTGTCAAGCATATTTTTGTAAAACATACTTGATTAAAAAAGATGATCAGGGCCAACCAGATAGTTCAGGGGACTAAAGTGCCTGCGTTGTTAGAGTACAGAAGCTAGGGTTCGGTCCCCAGTCTGCTGTGCTGGCCCTGATCCCAGGGTGCGCTAAGATGGCGACTGAGATTGGGTGTGGTGGCATGTGCCTATAATCCCAGCACTTGGGAGGCTGATAACAGGAGGATCACTATGAGTCCGACCTATGTAGTAAGACCCTGTACACCCTGTCCTAAATGCATTAAAAAAATAATAATAAGATGATCGATTTTTAAGGATTGCCCTTGCTAACAGAAAATATATTCAGATGACTAGAGGGGAGTGAGTGTTCCATAGCATGTGCACACATACCTATATACCCAGACCTGTGTGTGTGCATGTGTCGCCAGGAGGCTTCTCGGCCAGTGATTGCATCTAACCAAAAATGTCACAGTGAGGGCTGCGGCTCGGTGGCAGAGTGCTTGCCCCTCCTGTGCACAAGGCTCAGGCTTCGCGGCAAGCACTGTAAAACCACAGATTTTTTTCCTATTTATATTTAGTTTTGGAGGTTATAATACAATGTTCACTTTTGGTGCTTTTTGCTTTGAGAATTATGATATTCTACTGTAATGTTTAAAGCTTTTAAGATTGAAATATATTAAAGGTTCCGGGTGTCTTTTTAATTTACTGCTTGGTTTCTTTTTTTTTTTTTTAATTAATTAATTT